CCCTCCCCCCCACACACACACCCCCTCCTTCTCTCTGACTGACACTCAGTCTGTTCAGCCTCACCTTGCAGAGCTCCGAGGTGGCCAGGGCCCATCTGCGTGAACCTGCACAGATGATCCTGTGACTCTAGACTAGTTTTCCTAATGAGGGCATTACTTGCTTTTTAGCCTGCCCCTTGTTTGTAAAATATGCCAAGAGCACTAAACAACCCGCAGTTCCCAGTACTTATTTACTTGCCCAAACCAAATGTTTATGTCCTTGAATACTAAGCTCCAAGAAAAAGGGTTTCTCCTCGTGGGAAAGCTGCAGTGATCACTGAGGACTTTCTGACCAGCGTAGCTGAAGGCCTGCCTCTCAGCCAGCGCTCACTGTCAGCGTGTAGGACCGTTCAGACTCGCTTGTGGGCCCTGGGGTGTGTGGGCAGCGGCTCTGGGGTTGTGTTTGCTGCTCCTCCAGCCCCTTCCTTGCAGCCCCTTACCCTTGACTGCGTGGGATCAAAGCACCTCCAGAGCCTCACCTCGCCCCTCCTCCCGACACTGCCATACCTCCCGGCCAGCCAGGTGCAGCGTCTGAGCTCGGCTTGTTCTAAAACCATCACTGAAATACCCCCTAGGGCCCCAGGAGGAAGACAAAAGGAGTCAGTAGCAACAGTGCCACTTGTGCCCAGTTGCCCTGGCTTCTAGCTCGCCCAGCGTTGGCTGCCCGCGGGAGGGCAGGCTTGGTGCTGGGGCGGGGCGCTGGCTTCATCCGCAGGCTGAGAATTCCCGGGGAGCTCCCAGAGCCCAGGCTGCCTGCCCCGAGGCGGCTCAACCTGGCACCTGTGTTTTCTGGATGCTGACCAGGTGCGCCTGAGAGAGCCGGGTTCCGGGGCCTGCCCAGGACGGCCACAGCTGACACATTTGGTCCCTCTCCAGTGGGACTGCCTGTGTGCGGCTGCCGTGAGTCCCATCATTCATCTTCTCCTGGCAGGTTTTAGGCTGCATACACGTGTCACCTTTCTTAGTTTCTTTTTCCACAAGGAGAAACATTTCCTTGTTACCTTTGCCAGATTATTTAGGAGAAGAGTGTAAATTGAAGCCATTTATCCTGAAATGTGCTGTGGGGGCACATTGTTTATACAAGTGAAAGAAATTGTGAAGTGCCGTGGTATTTGGTCTGGTCTGCGAGGGAAAGGGGTCTCAGGTTCTTCGGCCCCTCCCCCCTTGCACACTCGCTAGAAGGCGCACAAAGCACCCGTGGGTTAGGTTCTCGTGGGTGACAGGCCGGACAGCCCTTAATGGGCTTAGTGCATACTGCTTATGTTTATTATTGGTAAAGTTACACCTTGCTGGTAACGATAACGTGACTGCTGTTCCTCGAACATGTGCCACACACTTCCCTACCCTGTTTGTGTGTGGTGTGTCCCGTTTCTCAGTGAGGTAGGACAGAACGCGGGCTTGTGGGGATTTTGCTGTTCTAATTGAAACCTGTACATGTTTGTCAGTTGGTGGACGAGTCAGTCGTGAATTAAATTATACTCGCCAGAAGATTGGAGAAGAGGCTATGTTTAATCCTCAACTCATGATCCAGACGCCAAAAGAAGAAGGTGCTAACGTCCTGACCACAGAAGCGCTCCGCCAACACCTGGACTCGGCGCTCCAGGCCAGCCGGGTCCACGTCTATATGTATAACAGGTAAGGCGGGGGGAAGAGGCTTCGCCCTTAGGCCCCTTTATTTTAATAAATAAGGTTGCTCTAGAAATACATGTGGGGTGTTCATTCAAATCGTTTTTTAATGAAATTACCTTTTTAATGAAGTTATTTTTTTTTAAATCTTGATTCATTTCTAGAGTTTGGTAACCAATCAAGTACATGACTTTATAATGTATTTTCAGTGAGTATTTTGGCACTATACCCAACGGGTATGGTCCTTCAAGCAGCCATTGGGATGCTACACAGCACACCTGTTCTTAAGATGTTTCATTACTTGAGCTGTTTTTAGAACAGATTTTGAATTGCCTTTGGTCAGCTTGCAAGGAGTAAGAAAAGGATAGGAGTGAAAAAGAAAGTTACTGCTCGTTCCCTTGTATTCGCTGTAGGTGCTGACAGTTGGTTTGTGTCACCAAAGCAAATAGGGGGTTGAGCCACTATGGCGAACTCCTGCTGACAGGCAGGTGGAATAGGGTGGACTCATGCACGGCTTTACAAAATATTACCCTTTAGCTTCATGCTAACTTAACAATGCTGTGGGTATCGTAGCAGCAGAGGAAGAGCTCTGGCACTTTTCCTTACCCATCTAAGCTGTGAGGTACCAGGGCGGGGTTCACATCTTGTCTGTTCTTATACAGCACTTAGGTCAGGGCAGGCGCTGGGAGTTTGTTGATTGACTGGCTGCCTGGATTGATGGATTCAACTGGATCTTCCTAAACCGTTGAGATGACTATCACTAAACCCCATTTCCAGGGGACCACTGAGTTGACATTTATGTAACTCCGTCCTGCCCCCATAGGCTTTCAGCGCCTCCTAACTGAGTGGTTGGCAAGTGCAATTTATTTTTCACTGGGGAGGGGAGGAAGTGGCAGTGTAGACATATTCAGTGGTTGGGGAGGAGGGAGAATGAAATGAAAGTCTATACTTGGTATCTACTGCAACCTCAACTCTGCATGGACTTCACTGGATTGGCTGTAAGACCCATCTAGCTGGAGGCAGGTCCTGGGACAAGTCACCTGTCTTTAGCACACTCTTGTTTCCTCACCTGTGCTCGAAGTTATGATCATGTTTGCTCTATTGCCCTCAGGAGGTTCCCAGAACAAGATCAGGTTCATATATATAGGAAAGGGTTTTAGAAAATGTAAGGAGCTGTATCTTAGTGCTTTTGTCAAGCAAACTTGGGTGGAGAGCACATCCCAGCTCTTACCTGCACAGCCCTCCCTCCCAGTCTGTCAGGAGCTTTGTAGGGTAAGCAACTACCTGGTGCAATTTTGTAAAATTTGCAAGTGGAAATGGTTGCTCCAGTGCCACTGTGAGTGTACTGGGTACATTCTTATGTAACTGGAGCCTACCTTGAGGCGCTTGTCATTTACTTTAGGAGAAGGTGAAAGCATCCATGCAATGAAATAACACTCTTAGCCAAGATGGAACCAGAGAATTTTTATGCATGAACTTTAAAGAACACCTAGTTCAACCCATCTCATTTTTTAGGTGAGAAAATTAGGAATTAGATCGATTAGAGCATCTGTCCAAGTTATACATTTATGAAATAGTACAGCCAGGTTTCATACCCTTTCTATGGCTTGAAGCCCAGTGGTTTTTCTGACCACAGCCACTCCCTTCTCAAAGCAAGTTTAAAGTAAGAGTTAATTCATCAAGTGATAATAACTGAGAGATTCTACTCTTGCTGGACAGTCCGTGTCGATGCTGTATGGATTTAAAATATGAGCAGTTACATAGATGGATGAGTGGATTGATAACGAGGGTCCTGCCGAGGGAGCTGACAGTCTAGTCAGGGAGGAAAAAGACATCCATATAGATGAGCGTGTACAAAGCCAGACACAGGCAGGCCCCACTGCAGGTGCTCCAGGTGTCAGGCAGGAGATCTGAGCAGCCAGTGCTCAAGAGAAAGGGGCCGTTCTTAATACCTCTGGTCAAAGAAAGCTTAGCGGGAAGGTGACGATTTAGTGGACGCTGAGGGATGTATCAGCGGGTGCCACAGGGAAGGAGAAGTCCAGAATGCTCCTTTGGGTGATCAATAAAATAGAGCAGCTTGGAGAGAGCTTTTTATATCTATTTTTTCTTCGCTTGGCTTTCTCTCCCCTACCATTTCCAAACTTCTTTTTTTTTTTAGTTAGATTTATCTCCCTAAAGGCATAGGCTTATATAGCACTCTTCTAGCAAGAACGGAAGTCTTTAATAGTACAGAACTCTGTAATAGATGAAAGGTGACTGTAGTGTAGGTCAGTATACTTAATATCATTTCTACAGGACAAAGAAAGACTATAAGGTGGGAAATGGATGTGCCTGGTGTTGTTTACAATATTCATTCATGGTTAAGAGTAAGGAAGTTCATTTTGAACACTGTATGTTAATAAGGACATTATCTTCCAGTAAAAAAAAAAATCAGTAATATTTTCCCACCTGAATATATGTTGATACATTATAAGCCTTACTGATTGAGTCCCCAGTTATTTTGAATTTGTGATAATTCAGCTCTGAATTATTTGCCCTGAAGTTGTTTAATGTATGTGGAAAAGCAGATTAATGGTGTAAACAAGATTATTGGGAGAACACTTAAGAAAACAAGACTTCTCAAGTACTTTGGTAGCATTCATTTACATAAACACCCACATGTTAATTACAATTGAGTATTATCTATTCATTAAAGCAAGCTTGTTGGGTCTCTACTTGGCAAAAGCTCTGCTCGTTTTGACAGATACTTAAAAGTAATCAAAATTGAGATTCTTTCTTATATATTCTATAGTTCCGATTTTGCACTGATTTGCTTACTTTATTACAATGAGAAATTTTTGTCTCTGCTCTGTACTAGGCAGTGGAAATTGGAACATTTGTGTTACAAATCCGGAGAACTTATCACAGAAACAGGTTACATGGATCAGGTATATTTTCTTTTCATTTACAAAGAAAATTCTCAAAAGCACCCCAGTGGTGTGCCTTAGCCTAACGCATGGCATATTCTTTTTGACTTTGACAGATAATAGAATATCTTTACCCTTGTTTAATTATTACACCTTTGGACTGCTTCTGGGAAGGGGCCAAGTTGCAATCCGGGACAGCATACCTACTGTAAGTGTATGATCCTGTTTTCTGATGCTTGTGATTTCTAAGCTCTAGAATGTTTCTGATATTACTTTATCATTGTTTATTCTATTTCAGTTTCGAACAAGAAATAAAAACATTGAAATTCCATGTGCATTTTTTGAGTGAATAGTTTGGGGCGGGGAGAGGGGACTTCAGCAGAATATTTTTCCTCTTTTTGAAAAACGTTCTGTAGGCATCATTAAATTTCATTCACTTTTACCAGCCTATTTATATGCAAATAAAATGCAAATGATTTCAGAGTACGTGTGATTTTTAACTCTTTAAAATGTTGGCAGTTTTTTAGACCTCACTCAAGTAGGCTTAGCTTATCTTTTAAGGAGAGAATTTATTAGTGGGTGCATGTCAGAACTAAATATTTTGAGTTAAAGTTGAGATCTTCCTGTGGAGTAAGATGTTAACCTTTCTTTGGATCACATTAATGGCATTTAAGGGGGGAATCTATCTTTCAAGGCCCTGGTAGTAGATGCTTCGTAGTTTAGCAGTTGAATATTATATGCACCTCATCATTTAAAGAATAATTGTTAATCAGTGTTGACATTTTCAGTTAATTATGCAAGAGCTGGTGCTTGGGTTATTGTTTCTGCCCTAGCTTGTACATATCTGCAAAAGCAATTTGCAGTGGCCATACCCTGACCTTCAGTATACAGTTTTAGATGGGCAATAAGGGGTTTTGTGTTTTCTGGTTGGGAGATTCTGAATAATGACTTCAGCCTGGTTAAGCAGCTACAGTGTGGTTTGAACCACATAACAGGCAGCCAAAAGCCTTTCTGGTCTGTCAACAGCACAAATTCAAAAGTGAGTGAGGGGGGAAGTGGCCTCGATGGCGGTGATGGCAGAGGCAGCAGGGGGCTTACGGGGTTGACTGCCAGGCTGTCACAGGGAGCTCATAAGTATGGGATTATTACAGGTAATGGAGATCAAATATTTTGATTGATGACATGTACAAAGCCATTATTAGGCTTGCAAGTGCTAATTTGATATTGTGCCCCCCCCCCTTAATTTTGAATCTCAGTCTTCTGTTTATAAGCACCACTGGCTAATTGTTTTCAGGTATTAAGGTACATTATGTCGGCAAGTACAGATTGTTCATGCCTTCACTCGCCTATCAGCTCTCTGCTTGCCGCCTTCACTGAGGAATTACTTTCCTGACTTAGGTTTGCATGCAGATAGACCAGAAAGGAGCACTTGTTTTTTTTATGCCAGGCTCCCAGAAGGGAAGCATCACCCAGAAGCCACATGTAATTGGAGGTAGTACGTGCACTACTTGCGGTCTTGTCACTTTACTAGGGGTTTGGAAGCCTCTGTTCATTGTCCTGCCTCCTGATTTCTTTCACAGAGGTAAGCCTCCTTTGCAGTGGACAAACTTTGACCCTTTGGAATTCCTAGAAGAGTTAAAGAAAATAAACTATCAAGTAGACAGCTGGGAGGAAATGCTGAACAAGGCGGAAGTGGGCCACGGCTACATGGACCGGCCCTGCCTCAACCCTGCCGACCCCGACTGCCCCGCCACGGCCCCCAACAAAAACGCCAGCAAAGTGAGTCGCCCGCGATTCTTCTCAGGGTGGGCAGGCGACGTTTTGATGTGTCCCCCCATTCTTCAGTTTATTATCTTCATTTTTAAGATTTCATTCTCAGTGACATTTTTTAAAGTCTGTGGAACTAAGTTTGTTTATAAGATTGAAATTTTGCTGTAAGATTTGCCATACGCCTCTCATTAGCCTTGTGTTTAATGTTCTCTCCGAAGCAAACAAGCCCTGAATGCACTGGATTTTAACAAGGCATGTGACCTGCCTGCTAATTCCCGCAATTATGTGGCTGTCTTTCTGTTCTAGCCTCTTGATATGGCCCTTGTCCTGAATGGCGGATGTCATGGCTTGTCCAGGAAGTACATGCACTGGCAGGAGGAGCTGATTGTGGGTGGCACGGTCAAGAACAGCACCGGGAAGCTCGTCAGGTAACCGACACACGGCAGCGTGCGAGCCGCCCCGTTGCGGCCTGTCCCCAGCAGCACTTCCCTGCTGGCGGCTGCAGGCGTATCTGCATTCATGCGGAACCGGCGTCCTCGCTGGCAGTCTGGCCTAGCGGCACGTTAGGAAATCATAGCCCACCGGACCAGCTCAGAACGGCACCTTGTAGGGAATTTTTCGAGAGCGTTTTTGCCGTTTTCATTGAGACTGTAGTTAATGAATACGGGGTTTGAGATCTGCCCGTTATATAGAAAATCGGGGCGTGTGTAAAGCAGGCAAGAGACGTAGGTCACAGTCTGTGGAGTTAAGTGGTACGAGCTGAACACTGTCGTAGCCTGTTAAGCTGCAGAGAAAGACCAGCAAATGACGGCCAACCAAGAATCCCCTCCGTGCACTGCGGCCCGCGCCGTCAGGTGTCAGGCATCCGTCTGCGCTTCCTCCCTCGGGAAGGCCGTCGGCTGGGGTTTCCGAGTGAGCGAGCGTGCAGGGCTGAGCCCAGCATCTCTGGTCAAGCTATCTATTCCTCTCCCCTTCCTGTTTCATTGAGTAGAAACTGAGAAAGGAAATTGCCTATTAATTTAATTTTGGGGTCTATCTGTAAAAGGTTTGTAAGGTTACACCTTTAATATGGTACATCAATCTATTAAATAAAATAACCATCCAGGTCCGGCTTTAATGGAAACATGTGCTCATGTAGAAGGATAGAATGACTGCGGGTGAGGTGGGGGCACTCGTTTGGGATTTTACACAGTAAGAGCTGCTTCCTGGGGGTGCTGATCTAGGCCTTCTACCTCCCCCCCCCCGTTGCAGTGCCCATGCCTTGCAGACCATGTTCCAGTTAATGACGCCCAAGCAGATGTACGAGCACTTCAAGGGGTACGAATACGTCTCACACATCAACTGGAATGAGGACAAGGCAGCAGCCATCCTGGAGGCGTGGCAGAGGACCTACGTGGAGGTACAGCGGCGTCCCACACCCACCTTTAACCCGGGCACAAGCCCCTTCGTTCCTAAATACTTCATTGCGATGATTTAAAAAACGTTTTTTCCTTCAGAATTCATGTTCAAAACAAACTGCAAGTCTGGGAACTTGCGGGATGAAAACATTCTTTGCTTTTCTTGATATTGAAAATCTTAATACCTGGGCGAAGCTAATGCTAATTGGGGTGCCCTGAAACATTTTGAGTAACCGGTTTTGAACTCCAGGGTTTAGGCATAACTGTTTAAAAAAACACTTGGTTAGCAAGAAAAGATATCTGGAAAACATTAGCAAGGCATAGAATCTGTTCACAGCTGCAGTTCCCCTGGTTAGGTCATGTGACAGGAGCTGGCCTTTGTTTCCCAAGCAGTGACCTCTCCTGAGCTGCATGCGACCTTTTAAAGGTGGCCAGCAAATGAACGGGGGAGGAGGGCCCTTAAGAGCGAGTTGTTTTCGATTAGGGGGAACTGATGGGACCCTTGTAGAGCTAAGGGGAGGGGAGCAGCAGTCTTCCCCACAGAGTAAATAAAGCCCTGGGAGTGAATTTAAATGACACCGGCTCACCACAGCCCCCCATTCTCACTTGATTAGTGGTCACCTTCACTGTCCCAGGCCCAGGGCATCTACTGTGAGTCCAAGTTCAAACCTGAATTGTGCAGAACTCTTTATAATGCATTAGAAAGCAAGTGGGGGTTGGGTTGAGGGGATGTGTCCCCTGACGCCTGTGCTATTGAAGCTCATTGAAGATTCCATTTCGTCTGGGACTTACCCTTATGTTGTGACCACAGGTGGTTCATCAGAGCGTCGCCCAGAACTCCACTCAGAAGGTGCTTTCCTTTACCACAACAACCCTGGACGACATCCTCAAGTCCTTCTCGGATGTCAGCGTCATCCGGGTGGCGAGTGGCTACTTACTGATGGTAACAATCAGTTCAATCCCCCTGGGCATTTGGGTTTCTTTTGGTTTTGGTTTTTACCTTTCCATGATGGCTCCTGCTTTTTAACTGCTCTTAACACACATGTGCATCTAAGAAAGAGAGAGCTCGGGCTTCATAACAGTTTGAGAAGTGGTCCTGTGAAGCAGTTTGCCCATCTTTGATTTGTATCATTTCATGTGATGTCTGTAATATAAATTTTTGTGGTTGTTGGATTTCATAAGTTTTTTTTACCTTTTGATTTGGGGTGAGGGGTGGGGGAAAACATTAGAATCCTTACACATTCTAATGTTTGGCTTTTGTTTTGTGTCTCCCCTCCCTCCTCTCCCCTTCTCCCTTTCCCCTCACCCTCCCTCCACGGTTCTGCTTGCAGCTTGCCTATGCCTGTTTAACCATGCTGCGCTGGGACTGCTCCAAGTCCCAGGGTGCCGTGGGGCTGGCTGGCGTCCTGTTGGTTGCACTGTCAGTGGCTGCAGGATTGGGCCTGTGCTCATTGATCGGGATTTCCTTTAATGCTGCAACAACTCAGGTACTCAGGGAGCCATCCATCGCTTTGTTGACCAACACCCCTCCCCAGGCTCAGGCCTCTTGTGTGTCCATGTCACCTGAAGGGTCTTCCAGCCTTTTCCTCTAGGATGCCACATCTCTCAGGGGAGTGCTGTCTTTAGACGGAGCACTCCCACTCATCTGTGGGCCGAAGATCGGAATGGGCCTGATGATCAGTAGAGATGTTTCACTTATCAGTGGAATTTAGATCACTTATTAGAGCAGTGGTTCTCAAACTTCAGCGTGCATTACAATCACCTGGAGGGTTTGTGGAAACTCAGATGGCTGGCCCCACCCTCAGGGTTTCTGAGTCCGTTGGCTTGGGATGGGGGTGGAGAATTTCCGTTTCTAACCAGTTCCCAATGATGCTGGTCCAGGGATCATGCTCGGGGAGCCACCGCTTTAGATGAGTTACACTCCTTCTCATGTATTAACTTAAAAAAACAATCAATCATTGTATGTGGTGCTTAGAAACGTGTAAGATCTGTGAGCTAAAACTGCTAGACTTTGGGGATTTAGCGATTAGATAAAATGAAGTTCTTCCCCACGGGTACTGTAAGCTGTCCTTTGGGTAGCTGTTGGGGGTGCTGGTGGCAGGGTTTTGAATAGCCCTGGAGTTGTCAGACGTGAACCTCCCATGTCTAACGCTCTGTCCTCGGTTCTCGCCACAGGTTTTGCCATTTCTTGCTCTTGGCGTCGGGGTGGATGATGTTTTCCTGCTGGCACACGCGTTTAGTGAAACAGGACAGAACAAAAGAATCCCCTTTGAGGTAACAGAAAAACAAAAGAATAAAGCTTTGGGGACAGCCGGAGCCCCTCTGTTCCAGAGTATTTGTCCTTTCATTTTCCTTCGTCTGCCCCAGTAACTAACTGAGTTCCAAGTCAGATGACATGTTACTGGCTCTACATAAGGAAAGTCAGTTAGGAGACTCTCAGGAGCTATTCTCCAAAGTGCACGTTTGTTTCCCTGAGGTTTGTTTCCCTGGGGGCGGGGGTCACTTTGTCCCCACCACCTTTTAAATCATATTAAACAGATACTAAGTCATTATCGTGTAGCTTTGTGTTCTGGACGGTAATGACCGTGAACAACACACGAGTGTGTGGATAGTACTGAAAACGCTCCCAGGGCCCGTGCTGGGGGCAAGGCAGAGACACTGCTTTCTGAGCGCCTGAGAGCAGCATCAGGAGCCACCACTTGTCTTAGTTTGTACTGGAATTGTGCACACAGTCTGTGCTCTGAGGAAGCCCTGTCCTGTGCAGCTCTCAGCACCGTGTTGTCTCGTCCCCAGGACAGGACCGGAGAGTGCCTCAAGCGCACGGGAGCCAGCGTGGCCCTCACGTCCATCAGCAACGTCACCGCCTTCTTCATGGCCGCGCTCATCCCCATTCCCGCTCTGCGGGCCTTCTCCCTCCAGGTGAGTCTCCAGGGATGCAGTCCCCGTGAGCATCTGCACCGCAGCTGACGGTCCTACTGTCATGAACTGAAGTCACATCTTTTTCTGGCAGATGCTTCCTTAAGCCATAACCCTGACATTCCCTCTAAAAAGGGTTTGAAGATTCTCTCCTTCCTCTCAAGCCCTGTAGCCCAGATGCCTGTAGCCTGGGTATCCTCAAGACCGGGTGCCTTAGGGAGCTGCCCTTTTCATTTATAGTTAAATTGAAGTGGTACCAGGGCCACGCCATATGGGAGGCCAGGGAGCCCCCACTCCAGATAGGCAGGAGTCCTCTGCAAGCATGCCACCCTCTCTCCTGATTTCCCTAAAGCAGCCCAACACCAGGCGGCTGAATGGAACAGACTTCATTGACAATAAAGAGATGGTAGGGTAGCCCAGGCTAGGGAATAACTTAAAACTGATTGACTAAATGACTAAATGCCACTGTGTGAGTATGTGTGGCCATTCTCTGCCCGCAGGAGGGTTCGTTGATGGGCCCTTGTCACCTCCTTTCCTTAGTTAGCTTCCACAGACTCTCCTGTCCCCTTTTCTCTTTACTTTTGGTTCACGGCTTCCCTCTTAGGCTGCCCAAGAAAACTCTCAGTTCCTATCCCTTCTTTGGTTCCCGAATTGTTCTGCTCTCTCCTCCAAAGCAGCCCTTTCACACCTACAAGCCATCAAGAAGTTTTTCAAAGAGCCAGTTTATGCGAATTGTGAGCTTGGCGAGTTCTCCAGGCTGGGCTGCAGCTGCAGTCAACTCTGTGCGGGCTTCAAGCACTGGTGTTTCTCTGCATCTGTGGGAAACTCCCAGGAATCCTTCAGTCTGTCCCCAGCAGATAAAAACAGCTACTTGACCACTTGGTGGTCTTCCTAAGCCTGCAATGCTTTAGCGGTTTGATATCTCAAGGATGTTGGAGTTTTGTTGACTATATGTAAATTTTTTTTTCCATCACCATTTATCCCCAATCTAAGCTTCAACTCTTTTCCAAAAAATATGAAAGGAGCCATGGCTTTTCCTTTCCTTCTTTATTTTTTTCTCCTGACAATATAATGTGTGATTCATGAGATGGCCAGGTTTTTAAAGGAAACCACTTTTGATGTTCACTTTTTAAACTGTTGTGACACCCAGCTTTACTTTCATACTGCTTGACTCTCCTTAGTCACCAAAAGGTTCTAAGGATTGTGACCGAGAAGAGACAAATCATAAATTAGGTTTCTGTTTACATGTTTGTCAACACTATTAGCTCTTTTTTAGTCTTCGTATTTGAATTTCATTTCACTAATCACTGATACAGCAGCTGAGGATCCTGCCGTGTTTGGAACACTAGACCTGTTTGATATTTAGTGTTAGGTATCACATGAAAACATATTTTGTACCAATCACTATGACTACCCACTCCCAAAAGTAAAAAAGATTTAAAACAATAAAAAAGGTTTATTTTGCTGTAAATATATATAAAAGTAGAGGGAATAAGTGAATAAATAGATAAAGTTAATTCTGAAACCAGGACGAAGCTCAGGAAAAAGAAAGTACACCTGACCGCGTAGTAATGTGGGGATAGTACAGGCGCCGCTGAATTGTTGGTGCAGCTAAGGCTTTAGAGCGCCGTCTGCCCAGGCGAGCGTGGGCGCAGCCCCCCTGGATGTCTGTTCTTGCTTCACACGCAGAGATTCTGGAACTGAGAAGCTGTTCTAGAGCCTAAGCAGTGGGACTGTCCCCTGTCCCCTTCCTGCTCGCCTTTCTCTCACTGTCCTCTGCCTGCTCTGCCTCATGCTCCTTGCCTCCTAGTGCCACATTTTCTCGTCTCCCCTCCCAGTCCCCGCTGGGGGCTCATCAAGGCGTCCTCTCCCTAACGGCACCCTGTGGTGTGGTGTCTGAAACCCTACATGAGTTTTCCTAACGCCTTTAGAGAGTCCAGTACGCTCAGTCCTTCCAGGGTAAGCACCTGGCCGAGGAGTGAATGCTCTCGGTTTTGCGTTACTGTTCCCTGGCACTTGGAGTGTCACTTTAGAAAACTGCACCTGCAGCTTCCCAGAGTCCTCAGATTAACGAGTGGCTTCCCACGACACTAGCTCCTTCTCTGTCAAACAAACAAAATTTAAAAGAAGAAAATGTAAGGAAAGAGAGACTGCGCCATGGGCTTGAGAAACTTGAAAGCTGGTTCATGTGTTGACATTCGAAATTGACCACTGTGCGGCTTCTCTTTCCTTCAGTGAACTGCGCTAAGTTGTGACTGTAGGCATTCATTTGTGTTTATATTTTCAGGGTGCTACAGATGAAGTATCAAAAGGGAGAGGCCCAAAGAGGTTCTATCCAATAATAAACCTATGTTAACTTAGGAATTTTCCTGTGGAAATTTTCCAGTTTTGTAGCTTTACCAAAATATTTAGAATTTTTTTCCCCCCGAAGAAACTGTCTCACACCTCCTTGTCAATCTCCATCCATCTGTCCAAATGCCACCTCTGTACCAGAGAGCAGTGGCACCAGCTGTAATCCTTTGGGAACTGATGCCCTGCTCTGGGGCTTTGCTGGTAACTGAATGGTATTTGTTCTTCGGTGCAGCTCCGGGAAAGAATGCCGTATTGTTCCAAGTGGTCAGAGGGTTGAGACGCAGGCCCCTCTAGGCAGAGCCAGTTCTTCTCTGTGCTCTGCAAGTGTCTCAGCAGGGCCACCATAGATGCTTTGCAGGGATATTTCCTTTAAGCAGGACAATTAGAGTTGATTGACAGTGCACAATCCTCGCCAGTATCTTTTCAGAATTACTTACAGTTTTTTAAACTCACCTTTGCTCCAGCAGCGACACTTCTCTTTGCCGAGAAATCCTTGCTGTTTGTTTTCACTATTTCGGTGCCCTTTAGGGGACGTTGACGTTGTTATTTTCTCATCAGGCAATGTACTCCCTGCACATGTAATAAGCCACTTGAGTTTCTTCTCATTGCTCTGTTTCCACCAAGAGACAGCAAATGCTCGGCACGTTTCCTCAGTGGACGAGGCTGGTGTCAGAGCCATTCTGCAGCCCTCACGGAAAGGATCCGCGTCATCCTGGCTGCACACCTGGGCCATGTGTGTATGCCTGCGTGGCTTATCTTTCCAGTCTCTGCCTCATCCTTGGGAACTTTTGTTCAAACTGAGCTACCCAGAATTTCTTGTCTACATTGTACTCCTGAATTCTAAAAATAACCCTAAAGAAAAGCTGAAAGGATTCCACCCCCGGATTAAGTTTTCCTAGAAAATCCTAGAGAATCAGACCCATTCTTCCCCACCCCGTGTCCCTCCCCTCAGGAGGTGGGGGCTGAGGGCATAGGTGTCAAGCCCGCATTTGAATCCGACTCACTGAGTGACCTCAGGCGGGTGACCTTCTGCACCAGCAGGTCTCTGTTAGGCAGCAGCGTCAGACGCAGTGCTAGCGCCTGCCTCCTGGTTGCTGCAGGAATCCGTGAACCCTGTGCACGACCTGACCTCTCAGGGCTCCTGCTTTCTCGCTTCTCTTCTGCTCGTAGAGTCTTGAACCCTTCAGTGTTGAATGGTTGTGGCAGTGTGTCCCTCTCAGACTTTGCCTTTCGGATTTCCTCCACGTGGCACATCCTTGCTCTGCGTCTTTCCAGAGTCCTTTCTTGTCTTCTCCATCTCCCTGAAATATCATCCTTGACCACCCATTCTACCCCACGTGCACCGCACCTGCATGCTGTCTCCCTCCTGGGCCGCTGTAGAACCCTGTGCCTGCTTTTATTATATCAACCAGCCTGAATTGTAATTTATTTATAGGACTGGCTGTGTTGGCTCCTTAGAGCAGGATTTTGTCTTATTTACCCTTTGTGTCTCCAGTGCCCAGCATAGTGCCCTGCCTTTTCTTTCTAAAGTACTTATCTCTTAGGTGACTCCTCTAGTGCAGATAGTGACTTGCTTATTAATATAAGCCTGTCCTGCAGGTTTTACGGTACCGTACATATGTTAGCGTGGTCAGCACGCTCAGGTGTTCTGAATTGAGAAGAATCTTCACAGCAGACCGAGAAGAGAGGGTTCTGGTCATCTTTAGGAGCGTCTTGGTTATTTTTGGGTTTTGTGGACTTAACGGGGAATTAATTATTGAAAGGCCTCTTTCTGGAACTCAGGATTGCCGTTTCACCTTGAGCATAAATTCACAATTATTCTCCAAAGCCCTTTGTGGAGTTCTTGTGATTTTCTTAGGTGTTAGCTTTCTTCCCTCACCCTGAGATGTGTACCCAGTTTGAGAAGGTTTTAGAACTAAGCAGTTCTTTGCAAAACCTCACAAGAGGGTATAATTGTCAGAAAAGTGCCTGATGATTTCTGGGTTGCTTAGCATTCCAGTTGCCTTTTTTCATTGTGCTGCTTCCCCCCCATGCCTTTCTGAACGGGGAGCCCCTTTCAACCGTCCTCTGTTGACTTTCTTCTGTTAACAGCCCAATTGTGTAATTTTTACTAGGTCAGCAGGAGATTTGCCAAAGCACTACAGAATCTACCCCGTGTTTATTCTAGGTTATTGAGTGACTTTTGAATCTGTACTTATTTATTCTGCATACTATAATCACACACAGGAATTTCTTTCTGCTTAACTCTCCTTGACCTTTTCTGTTACTGCGCTCACACACCCCACAGGCTGCTCCAGGGGCTATTTGGAATGTGCCTATTAAAAACCTCAGGGGACGTGTTTGAAATTTTATTTCATGTTTTAAAGGTGACATTTTGATACACTCGATCCATCTTATATATAAATTTCCTCAGTGTAAAATCAGGGCTGCATGAACTCTTAGAAACATTGTGAAAGGGAAATGTTCCCTTTTGTTTTAAATTAAAACATTTCACGTATCTTCTCTGTTCTGCCTTTGTAGATCTTGTCTAATTAGGTTGCTAGCAAGATGCCAGTTTAGCTCCTGTGTTTGGTTGGGCCTTATAGGTTCGTGGAGTTGTTAGCAGTGGATAGGACCAGGATGATGGGGGCCTAGTCCAGTCAAATGGTCTCTTAGTGATGAGAGAGAGAAGCAGAGCCGTGAGAAACCTGAACATCTATTTCCGGTTTAAACACTTCAGTTGCAAAGGGAAAGGTGTTTAAAACATCTTTATTTTCAGGCCCTGGCCGAGTAACTCAGTTGATTAGAGTGTTGTCTGATACGCCAAGGTTGCAGGGTTCAGTCCCTGGTCAGGGCACATACAAGAATCAACCAGTGAATGCACACAGAAGTGAAACAACAAATCCATGTTTCTCTTCCTCTCTCTCTGAAAAACCAGTCAGTAAATAAAAAATTTTCAATAAATAAAACATCTCTATTTCCAAAGCAATCCTCTGACTGGGAGGAGATGTATTGCTGAACTCTACGTTTTTCTCCTGCTCCCAGGCGGCTGTAGTGGTGGTCTTCAATTTTGCTATGGTTCTGCTCATTTTTCCTGCGATCCTCAGCATGGATTTGTATCGACGCGAGGACAGGAGGTTGGATATTTTCTGCTGTTTTACAAGGTACATTTTCTGGCTGCGGTGGCCTTATTTGTTGGGTACAGAGTGGTAGTGTTTGGAGAATGCTTCAGTCTGTGAACTTGGATGGAGATGCACTTCCCGGGCTGCGCCTGTGCAGTGGGGGTGGTGGAGAGAGTGGACAGGGATGCCGCCTTGGAGGGATAGCAGAACCCCTGCGGTTCTCTGGCCCTCTGACCACATTCTCATAGCCCTGAGGTTGTGATACGATGATTTATTTCTATCATGAACCAGTATTTCTCATTGTTGGGAGTGTGTCATCTATGGATTAGGGCAGAACAAAGGTTGAAAACCACCCATCTGGAAAAATTACAGCTTTGGGGTGTTTTTCTTTGTAAGGAATTATGCTTTGAAGGGGTTCAGTGGCATGTGACTTGGTTTAGAAGCCAAATTCAGGATGAACCATCCCTTTGGCCTCCTTTGACCTACTTGTGTCTGCGTCCAGACAGAGAAGCCAGGTGATGCGGGTACAGTTCAGCCGCGTGCTGTTTGTCTCCTAAGTCGGAGCTGCAGAGTAGGTGTTATCAGTCATGGGCAGAAACGAGAGCAGCGTCTCCCTGTCTCGGCGGCCGCTGCAGCACGTTTCCCCTCTCTCAGCCCCTGTGTCAGCAGAGTGATTCAGGTTGAACCTCAGGCCTACACGGAGACGCGCGAGAGCACCGGCGCCAGCCCCCCACCTCCCTACAGCAGCCACAGCTTCGCCCACGAGACGCAGATCACCATGCAGTCCACGGTGCAGCTCCGCACGGAGTACGACCCCCACACACACGTGTACTACACGACCGCCGAGCCGCTCTCCGAGATCTCCGTGCAGCCCGTCACCCTGACGCAGGACACGCTCAGCTGCCAGAGCCCCGAGAGCACCAGCTCCACGCGGGACCTGCTCTCCCAGTTCTCCGACTCCGGCCTCCACTGCCTTGAGCCCCCTTGCACCAAGTGGACACTCTCATCTTTTGCCGAGAAACACTACGCTCCTTTCCTCTTGAAACCAAAAGCCAAGGTAATCTACCCAAACGGAAGACCCTTGCTGTCTTCGGGAATAACAGAACCGGCCCCTTGGGAATTAATTCGCCGGTGTGGCAGGTTTCAGGCCGCCTGGGTAGCCGGTCCAGTGACAACACGGGGCCATTTCCATGAGCTCATCTCCTGCAGGGGTGAATTTAGATGAACTCCTCACATTTTAAACATTTTACTCTTCATGAGGTGGTTTTAAAATGTGGTTATTATGAGTCTATGTTTCTCCCTCTGGGAAAATGACCCCCTACATGCTACGTCGGGGCCAGTGGGATGGCAGAAGGGAGGCGTAAGCCACACAGCTTCTTTGTCGCTGTAGAGTCAGGTACGTCCCTTGGGTCTGACCTCATGCCTCTTCACTCTGTTGCAGGTCGTGGTGATCTTCCTCTTCCTGGGCTTGCTGGGGGTCAGCCTTTATGGGACCACCCGAGTGCGCGATGGGCTGGACCTGACAGACATTGTGCCTCGGGAAACCAGAGAGTATGACTTTATCGCTGCGCAGTTCAAGTACTTTTCCTTCTACAACATGTATATCGTCACCCAGAAGGCAGACTACCCGAATATCCAGCACTTGCTTTACGACCTGCACAAGAGCTTCAGCAACGTGAAGTATGTCATGTTGGAAGAAAATAAACAGCTTCCCAAAATGTGGCTGCACTACTTCAGAGACTGGCTGCAAGGTAGGGGCTGCTGGGGATCCTCTCTCAGCCTTGGGTCTTGGGTGTGTTCAGCTCCCACAAGTTCCTTCTGTTCACTTTATTGAAGTGTTAGATTTTAATGTAACACTGACATGTTTCATTGACTTCTAGGTGTTGCTTAAAATTCTTATGTAGACTGTTTCTGGGGCGGCCTCCCAAAGCCCGCTTTTACCTATAAAACAATGAGAACAGTTCGTTGGGTGACTCAGGAACTTCTGTAAGAGTTTATGAGTGCCCATTAGATGGGAAAGTAAGTTATAAACTGGAGCTGGCTACCTCTAGTGTTCTTTTGGGGGGGGGGG